GATAGGAATAGAAATATTTCGTGATAGATCACAAGGACTGTTAGGTTTGTCTCAGAAAGCATATATTAATAAAGTTTTAGAGAGATTCAGAATGGAGAATTATTCTGCATCTCCCGTTCCAATACAGAAAGGAGACAAAATTAGTCTCATGCAATGTCCAAAGAATGACTTGGAACGGAAACAGATTGAAAATATCCCTTATGCATCTGTTGTTGGGAGTTTGATGTATGCTCAAACATGTACGAGGCCAGATATTAGCTTTGCAGTTGGTATGCTTAACTGGATCATTGGAAGGCTGCAAAGAAAGTTTTAAGATACTTACAAGGAACAAAGAATCACATGCTTACTTATAGGAAAGTTGATCACCTTGAGGTGATTGGATATACAGATTCAGATTTAGCTGATTATATGGATACACGAAAGTCTACATTTGGTTATGTGTATCTTATAGCCGGAGGAGCGATTTCATGGAAAAGTGCGAAGCAGTCTGTCATTGCTGCATCCACTATGGAAGCTGAATTTGTGGCATGTTTTGAGGTCACAGTTCAAGCTAATTGGTTGCGGAATTTTATTTCAGGACTTGGAGTAGTCGACAGCATTGCCAAGCCGCTGAAAATTTATTGTGACAATTCCGCAGCAGTCTTCTTTTCTAAGAACGACAAGTATTCCAAAGGTGCTAAGCATATGGAATTGAAATACTTTGCCGTTAAAGAAGAAGTTCAGAAACGTAGAGTGTCAATAGAACATACTAGCACTAATCTTATGATTGTTGATCCTTTAACAAAGGGATTATCGCCTAAATTATTTGCTGGCCATATAATGAATGTGGGCATTATGTTCACTAGTGAATGTTGAATGTTAATGTTATTATTAATGCTTATGTGACACTTTGAGATCTTTAATGTATAAGTTTCTGAAATTTGTGTTTTCTTCTTTATTTATATGCATGCAAATTATGATGAAGAAAACAAATTATGTTATTATTTTTAAAATGATATTATGTTTGAACCCATTATGGACTTCTCATTATAAAGTCATATTAAGGAGAAAGAGATAATATAGTGGTACATGGAAGGGAACCTCGTCGATTGAATGACATGTAACCGTCATGACTCTTGTTATAGCTGTATCTTTAATTATGAATAATGATAGAACCAATTTATGTAAGGTCCTTTAATGCGCATTATGATTTAAGTATTAAATCACAAAACTGTATGACATCACATGAGTCAAGTGGGAGAATGTTAGAATTAATTTAATTAATTAATTCCATTATATGACTCATGTGAAATATAATAATGGGCCCAAATGTGATTTAATAAAATATGATGACCTATTGGTTATTATGTGAAGTCAGAATAAAATAAAGATAAAATAAAATATTAACTTACGGTAACCAACTTGATGGACGTTGGTTAATAAAAAGGATTAGGGTTCTGTCTCTGGTCATATAAGGTTTTTTCACGGTAAACCATCAAGAAAGTGAAGCGTGAGAAGAAAAAGAAAGACAAAGAGATAGATTGGGAAAAGGAGATAGGAGAACGAAAAGATCAAAGAAAAGATTCTCATGGATCAAGGTTAGTCTTCTTACTATGATTCATGTATTGATGTATATTATATTGTGAAAATCAATAATCTAAAGATCCTGTAGAGTAGTTTTCTATAATAAATTAAGAACGTAGGAAAACTACAGAAAAGTTTACACCTCTGTCACATCAAATAGTTATATGCCGAAGTTAGGAAAAAGACAAGATAGAGAAAAACTGATAGAGCATCATGAAGTTAAAGAGCCTCTTAAGTCTTTTAGATCAAGGAAAAGTGGTTATATTCTAGAGAAAAATGTACTCTGGATATGGCCATTATAGAGTTGGACCACCTCCAACACTATCTGTTTCCCAGAATTATATTATATTATAAAACGATATGAAAGAATATGTAATCCAGTATTATTCTTCGTGTGAGACAGATGAAAATGAAAACCACTAACTAATGATAAAATTGGCCATGGAAAAGTCATAATCATATTTTATAAATGAATAATTATATCAGTTTTCTACAACTTTTCACCAAATACTATTTTAAAATACATTCTTCTCAAAAGTCAAGATTGACAAGTATTTTATATTCCAGCTGGTCATAACATAGCCTATGCAAGTGTCACAAGTTTGGATGCCCATATGATGAATGAAAATTGTCAATAACATTTTCTAGATAGAAAAGAACACATTTTTTAAATGACCTTACCACCCTAGTTAGTTAATGCTCTTTATTATCTTTTTCACGTTCTGTTACTTCAGAAGAAAAAGTTACAAAACATCTGGTGTCATATAGGAAGTTGGATACTCACTAGTTAGCAAATGACACAGTAGCATTCCAATATTGAATAAATTGGAACTTCTTTAAAAAGCTAAATCTCATAGTACCTCAGTTCTTTCTATTGCAAGATAAAAAGTATACATCCATTTATATATTTTAATTTAAGCATATCTTTAATAAAACTAATATTTACTAATTTGTTAGGAAAAAATGGCATGCACATATTTATGCAAGTGCAAGAGAAGCATTCATAATCTATCCCAAACCTTTGTTTACCTTTATTGAATATTGCCGCACCACATGATTTGTGGTATCTTCAATCTTTCAGGCAACATTTGTAGCTTTAGTTCTGAGCAATACCATATAGTTAGGACTTCCAAGTCACAGTAGTACGAAAAATGAAGATCCATTGCTGCAAAATAGCGTGTTACACAGTCCATGATGGGGTTCATATTTAGCCTCAAGAACGTAGATCTGTTACACCAGTATGTCAATTTCTATTTGAAGCAGATACAATTTGAGAACCAAGTAACTTGCATTTTGTAAGCTCCTGATTTTGCTAATTACCGATGAGTGAAATTAGTTATATATCAAACTACATCCAGGAATCTTGATTTTCCTTCTCTCCACACCAATTCTAAACCTCTTGGCATCATCCTATTTTCCAACCAGCAGCGTGTCAGGTACTGAAATTTCCATGAGCTACAAATTCTTGCGTAAACTGTAGCAAAAATACAATTCTCCTCTTCTCAATGATTCCACACTTTGCATCAAGAGTCAGCTAAAGCACCAGCCAAATGCTTATCCGGCACAATTACTCAGTAATTTGTCCCTGACTCAATCCAGCACCAGTATTGAACATCATTACAGTCAACTTATCACTTATTAGAGGTAGATGGATGTAAAGTTTATTTCATGTAGTTTAGTACCTTGAGGGTCTTCTTTAGTTTGCTATTTTGAGCGTAGCAAGTTGTCATGGTATAAATGGAGAGCGACTCTTTGTCATCCATTTTGTTGAAGAGTTAACGAGCAGATTCAACCTACCCACTTTTTGAATGCTCAGTACTATTACCAATTTTCCATCCAAAAAAAGCTTTTCTATTTCTAATATCAGTAATATGCATTTCTTAACAAATTCTTTAGAAGGTATCGTGTTTCTATAATCAATGTAAGCATCAATCATTGTATTTTGAGAAGGCAGGTTTCTTTATAGTATTTGTTAAAACAAAGAACATGGTTGCTTGGCATTTCCTACTTTCTGAAAACCGGAGACCATGAAATCCAAGACCTTCATAAGAATATTGTTTCCAAAAAAAAATAAAAAATAAATTTGAACCTCAGCCAAGTTACCAAGAGTACATGAAAATCCAAATACATCACATTCTTAGTCAGCTATTTCATCAAACATCTTCCGTGCATATTTCCTATCACCAATTTTCAATGTTACTCACGGAAGGTAGTTTGCATGCAAAAACAACTAAAACAAGTAATTTTCATGAATCATCATAAACAAAACTGACTAAATTTTATCTGCTAAATTAGGAAACTACACCACAAAAATATTTGTTCAGTTTGTTATTAAATAATAACAGTGGACTAAACAAAATAAAGACAATAAGTAGGTAATAATTAGAAATGTCATAAGGTTGACCACAATTATAAAATAATAATTATTTTTTAATACAATATAATATTATTTTATTATATATATATATATATATTATAAATTAATTTAATAAAAAATTTCTTTATTTTAATTTAATTTGATAAATAATTTACTTATTTTAAGAGTAAATATTAAAATAAATTTTTAATAATTACTTATTTTAAAAATTAAATTAATTATTATTTTAAATTAGTAAATTATTTAAAATAAATAATAATAAATTTTTTATTTTTATTTGAGATTAAATTAATATATCCTATTATAATTTATATATTAAATTATTATATTTTAAATAAAAATTAATTTCATTAATAAAATTTTAAAAAATATGTTTTATTTAAATATTTTTTAATTAATTAATTTATATAAATATGTTAATATTTTTGTTAAAAAAAAATTAATCAGACAAAAATTACTAGATTACAAATTTTAGTTTATTTTAAATATATATTAAACTGAACTATAATTTTTTTAAGTTAATTTAGAAGGTTAGATCAGTATCGAATTACCAGTTTTAATAGTTGAAGTTTTTCTTATATAATTTTTTATAATTTCTATTTTATATCTATGCATAAAATAATTATAATTCACGAAAAAAAAATGAACATGTTATAAATATTATTAGTATGCTCAATTTGATTGGCGTAATAATATAATTACATAATTAATAGTCTACTGATATTTTGTATTAATAAAAATTTACTAACATGATGTGCATGATTATCAAATAATTTTGTCTATACATAAGAATTTTAGATTATAAAAGAAATGTTGAAAGAAACTGTTTCGACATTGGTGAACAAAAATTAACTGTCAAAACGGTGAACAACGAGGACTTTAGCGCAGTTGTTGTACTTGAACAAACAACATGAACCACAGTCTCAATGCTCCGTTGTGTGTTTAGTTAGGACTGTCCCTTGGCTTAAAGGTCACTAACCTAAACCCACAAGGCAGACACGTGGGATGTCATAAATGCGATCTTCTTCTCTCACTCACACAAGTCACGAGGAACACACCTATGCATGCAGCAGTGAAACATCAATGCACACTGGACCCCACCCACCCCTATTCCATCTCTCTGCTTTACCAAAATGTTTCACGTTAATTAACAACTTTATTTATTTAACATTTTATTTTAATTAATAAAAAATAAATATACTAAATCATTTATTTCTAATTATTACTTCATCCATACTTTAATTAAATATATATATATATATACTGATTAAAAATATTATTTAAAAAAATATTTTCATAAATAAAAGTTATCTTTTTTAAATCACTCTTAGTCATATTTTACAAATATTTTTAACTTAAAAACAAAGGTATGTGAAAGAGTTTTACTTAGAGCACAACTATTTAGAAAAAGTAAAACAAAAAAATTGTCATATTTTAACGGTAGGGCAGAACGAAACTCATAAACGACCAGACCACTGCCTAGTTAATACATTGAATGATCACCCACAAGAAGACAACAAACAGCTACAATTATGCTGACGCTAACCTGCGCTTTCTCTCTCTCTCTCTCCGTCTCTTTCTCTCTCTTTCACCGCAACCTCATCCCCATTACTCATTTTGATGATTTGCTGTTGGGATTTTTTTCACAGCACTAACACTATCCATACTATGTCGTTTGGAGTTTCTCTCTCTCCTACCAACTTCCTTAGGAATCAAACACCCTGGACTCGGTGAGCTTGCTAAGTTGCTAGTCATGTCACTGAGGGTTGTTGTTTTCTTTGATTTACCATTGTGACTGTCAGACTTTGTGTTTTCTAAGCTGGGTACTAGTTTTCTAATTTCTGGGCAAGTGAAAAGGAGCGATCTTGATTTACATTCTATATAGGGAAAGTCTTTGTTTGACTTTGAGGATAATGTGGTCACCCTTCTTGGAGTTTTCATGTTTTTTCAGCTTGTTTCCTGCTACACTCAGATTTCAACACTGCTTTGATCTTTGAAGGACAAAATGTTCGGCTTCTCTCGTAGGCATATGAAACTTGGCAGGTGAACATTTTTTTTACCTTCTTCCTTCTTTCTAACTTTGGAATTTCTCTTCATGCACCCAGAGGCAGTGCGGTACCACTAGTTCTTTAAGGGCAAGGCTATGTTTGCGGAAACAACTTAATTAAGTGCTTATTAAATAAGTAATTAACATGTAGGTGTTTATTTTTAGGTTGTTTCTATAATCGAAGAGAAAATAAGGTTAAACCATTTTCATATTTGTTTTCAAAAGTAATATTCAAGAGAAAACATGTTATGGAAATATCATAACTTATTCTCATGAATTCTCCGAAACATATATACAATTGTTTATGTTATAGGATGAGTCCAAATAAATTGAAAATAAACTCTTTCAAAGGCACCCATATTGATGATTTTTTTTATGTTGTTATTGTTGTGTTGTCTCAGTAGATTGAAGGTCCAGCTTTCTGACACTCCCCAGGGAACTAGAAGCCCCATCAGGCACCACCACAAGCGAAATGTACACTCTAATGTGATTTTTTCAGCTTCATTCCCTGTGTGGGTTGAATTTGTAATGAGGGTTACCACTGATGAAGCTTCTGACAGGGTGATGGAGTTGCGAGGACAAGTGGTCATTCTGAGGAAATTGACAGCCAGTTTTTGTCAGCTGCACCTGAGATGCATACTTGTACATCAGGGAGCTCAGAGAACTGGATGGTGTTGTCAATTGCAGGGGATAAGCCCACTGCTAGATCCTATGTATGTAATTTTGTGATTGGTATTACTTTTAATATTTGATCCTGGTCATTTTTTGGAAGTTTTATGACTTGTGAGCAGTTTTGGCAAATACTTGACTTTTTTTTTTTTTAATAGCATGCTGCAGCTGTTGTTGAGAATAAGATGGTAGTGGTTGGGGGTGAATCAGGGAGTGGATTGTTAGACGATGTGCAGGTGAGGGTATATTTCTTATTTGGTTCTTGGTTAATGACACAAACTGAGATCTGGATACAATTCATTTTTATTGCCAGGTGCTAAATTTTGACAGGTTTTCGTGGACCACGGCATCATCTAAGCTTTACTTATCGCCAAGTAGTCTTCCACTGAAGATTCCTGCTTGCAAGGGGCATTGTTTGGTACTTTAATATATGGTTTTAACAACATATTCTTAGCATGCGTACGTGTTTATGTGTATTCTATTAAGTGACTTTGGTAATGCTCTCATCTTAGGAATGGAATAACATGTAAGTTAATATGAAAAGTTCATGAACCTGAATTTGTAAAAACAAATGTTCACCCTTACATGACCAGGCACTGTGTTCATCAGTAAATTGTGGTCATTATAAATAAGCTGCTTGATGATTCAACAAATCAAATTTCATTTGAAATTGATAATTAATACCTTTCACATTTTTAATGACACCTTGTTTAAAATTTCTATTTGATAATGATTTACCCTGGTCTCAATTTTCTTGTGTTTGATGATAATATGACCAGGTTTCTTGGGGGAAAAAAGCACTTCTCATTGGAGGGAAAACAGATCCAGCAAGTGACAAAATTTCTGGTTCACTCTCTTCTTCTTCACATATGTAATAGCTTTGTCCTTGTTCATGTGGCATAATTGTTTTAATTGCCATTCTGGTTTTTGTAGTATGGGTGTTTGATACAGAGACAGAGTGCTGGTCACTCATGGAAGCAAAGGGAGACATACCGGTAGGAATTTTCATTTGATAAAACTGAAATATTAGGAATTCAAATATTATGGCATATGCTACTGGGTTAGGAATTTTCATATCCTGCCCAATCATATAACTTAGTAGATCATAAATCATGGTAATCATTACAATATGTATTATTATGTCTAGGTTCAATGAATCATTTAGATATAAATAAAATAATTAAGAAATTGTATCTTTGTATTTCTTACAGTTTTCAACATACATACTTCTATTTTATCTCTCATTTAACCGAAGTAATTCTTTATCATTTAAAATATGTTAATAAGTTTTCGCTAGAATGTGTTTTTGAGGACTCCCTGTTGAAATGGACGGCTTTTTCCTTGATCACGTTGCCATTTTCCACATGATGCGGGTGTGATTCATCATTATGCTTGACAAGCTAAGTTGTCTGGAAGACATGAGCTGAAACAATTGCGGCCAAATATATAAGAAATAGAAACTAATACTACAATGAAAATACGACACATAACCTGATCTAATGTATCATAATTTAGTTTCTTCTATTTGAATCTCTTTAGGCAGTACTGACCAATTTTTTTTGTTCTTGGCAGGTGGCTCGCAATGGTCACACAGTTGTTATGGCTAACTCTGTTTTAATATTGTTTGGAGGAGAAGATGCAAAAAGGAGGAAACTGAATGATTTACATATGTTTGATCTCAAGTCCTTGACATGGCTTCCACTTCACTACACGTAATTGTGTTTTATACTTCGCTATGATTTATCTTTATTTTTTGTTAAGTTGTAGCAAAAATTTTGAATTCCATGTGACTATCTGCTGATCAGGACCTGATTTAAATGTTTACTTGCTTTTGAAAAGTAATGCTGTGTCATTTGGTTTTATCCCATACTACCTCCTAAAAATATAATATCACTTACAGGGGAGCAGCACCTTGTCCAAGATTCAACCATGCAGCAGCACTTCATGATGGTAAAATTCTATTTATATTTGGAGGAGCGTCAAAATCCAGGACCTTGAATGACTTGTATTCACTTGACTTTGAAACAGTGAGCTCTCTCTATATTCAGTGAAACGTTTGGATTTCTCCAAGATGAAGAGTAAATGCTCATTCATTTTGTTATTAATGAAAATATATGCTCTTTCAGATGGCATGGTCAAGAATAAAAATACGTGGTTTCCATCCATCACCAAGAGCTGGTTGCTCTGGTGTATTATGTGGCACTAAATGGTATATTACAGGGGGTGGAAGCAAGAAAAAACGTATGTTTTTTAATGGAAGAAACATTTATTCTAATACTATAGCATACTATTTATTTATATCTTTTTAACTTAACCTTTTACACTGCAGCTTCAAAAAAAGTAGTTTATGCATGAATTTTGCTAAATTTGATCTTGGTTACTATATTGCATTTGAGTTATTCCTCTTATCTTTCTTTCCAGTCATCATTCTGTCTGTTAATGACTACAATGCTTTTGATTGTATAGCTTTTGTGAGCACTTCTTGCTTTTTTTGTGTTTCAAACTTTCATTTTAATCAATGTTCCTTGGTAACTATATACTCATAGTAAGAAGATTAGATTACTGAAAGGGAGGTTAATTCCAACTATAAACAAAAGAAGGGGAAAATTGTATATTAATAATAAGAACACTAGAATTTGAGATTTGGTCTCTGCAAATATAGCTTATTGTCTTCCTGTTTCACATATAACTTGTCTCTTATTCTATTTCTTTTTAAATTTCTAATTTTCCTTTGCATATTTCAGGACACGGGGAGACTTTGGTATATGATGTTGTAAAAAGTGAATGGTCTGTGGCAATTGTGTCACCTCCATCTTCTATTACGACCAACAAGGTTAGATTTTTATTTTTCTTGCCAGTTTTACTTGTCATTCATCTGCTACTACCTCATACTGCTAGCTCATTGTGCATTTATTGACATCATTGTATTCCATTTATCCTTTTGTGCTTATGATAGGAACTTAGGTATAATGGGTTGGTGTATTTGGTAAAGAGAAAGAAAATATAGGAAGAGGAAGTAGATAGGTGAGCAAAGAGAAAAAAGGTGAAAAACAAAATGCCAACAGAGGTCATTTGGTTAAATTTTTTTATATTATTTACTTTTAAACTGTTGAGTATTTATTAGATTAGTTGTATCTAACTATTGACCTAGTTCCTAGAATGTATCTGTTTATCTTCTCTAGTTTTAATCATTTCCCCCTATTTATTGTATCTCAGAATCTGTATCTTTATCCCCTATAAATAAGAGAATGCAAGAGAAAAGTTTCAAGCTCTCAAAAACATTTTATTTTTCTATTATCTATTTCAAGTTGGTATCAGAGCAGGTTCATCCCGCTCTACCTGTCTTTCCTTTTTTTTTTTCATCGTCCGCCGCCGCCGGAGCCATCGTCCCCCGGCGTTGTTCCACTTGTCATTCTTGGGTTAGGATTGCCTCAAGGAGCGCGACCCAACCTCGGTGGTCGCTTCAGCCACCTCTGCTAGATGCGCCGCCTTCGTTCGCTGCCTCCTCCTCACATGTGGTTCACGTGCCGCCTGTTAGTATTATGGTGCTTGATTTAGTCCCACATCGATTAGGATTGTGAGATGAGGTTCTCTATTTTGTTATATAAGCAACCCTATGTAAAGTTTGAGATATACACAGAAATAAAAATACTTCCTAGTGTAGTCGTGGACGTAGGCATACATATTTTAGCCGAACCACGTTAAAATTCTTGTGTCGTTTATTTTTCTCTCCTTTATTCTTTCCTTTATTATTTGTTGTTGACTGATGCTGGTGAGCCAGAGCATTTTGCTGAGGCTATGCAGGGAGATGAATCTATTAAGTGGGAGCTAGCAATGGAAGATGAGATAAAGTCCCTTCAGAAGAATAAAACATGGTCTTTAACCAAGCTACCAGAAGGAAAGAAAGTTTTGCAAAACAGGTGGGTCTATAGGTTGAAAGAAGAACCAGGATGGCGACAAAAGATATAAGGCTAGACTCGTAGTGAAAGGGTTCCAACAAAGACAAGGAATTGACTTCACGAAATTTTCTCTCCTGTTGTCAAGATGACTACCATCGAGTTATCTTGAGTATAGTAGCTGCAGAAAATCTTCATTTGGAGCAGCTTAGATGTCAAAACTGCATTCTTACATGGGGATCTTGAAGAGGAAATTTTTATGACACAGCCAAAAGGTTTTGAAGTACAAGGCGGAGAAAATCTTGTATGCAAGCTTCATAAAAGTTTGTACGGATTAAAACAAGCGCCGAGACAATGGTACAAGAAGTTTAATGAGTTTATGAGAAACTCAGGATTTCGCGAGATGTGAAGAAGATCACTGTTGTTATGTGAAGAAATATGTTGATAGCTATATCATTCTTGCCTTATATGTTGACGACATGTTGATTGTTGGAGCTAATATGGCGTAAATTGACAAGTTGAAGAAACAATTGTTAGAGAGCTTTGAAATGAAGGATCTTGGTTCAGCCAAGCAAATTCTTGGTATGAGAATCTCCCGAGATAGAGATAAAGGTATTTTGAACTTATCTCAAGAAAAATATATAGAAAAATTGCTTAGCAGATTCAATGTTGGGAATGCTAAAACCAGGAATACACCTTTGGGAACTCACTTAAAGTTTTCAAAGAGGCAATCTTCTCAAACGAAGAAGAAGAAAGTCACATGTCTAAAGTGCCATATGCATCTGCAGTAGGAAGCTTGATGTATGCTATGGTTTGCACCGGACTGGACATAGCACATGCAAGTGGGAGTTGTGAGCAGATTTCTATCAAATCCCGGAAAGGAGCATTGGGAAGGAGTGAAGTGGATAATCGGATATTTGAAAGGCACTTTAAAGATGCATTTGTCTTTCAAGAGAAGTAATCTCATTTTACAGGGGTTTTCTCGATGCGGACTTGGGAGGTGATCTTGACGGTAGAAAGAGCACAACAAGGTTATATTTTTACATTGGGTGGTACAGCTATCGGTTGGAAGTCTAAACTTCAAGGAAGGGTCTCTCTCTCAACCACTCGAAGCGAGTATGTAGCTATCTCGAAGCGGCCGAAGGAGATGATATGGTTGAAGAACCTTCTAAAAGAATTAGGAAGAGAACAAGATGGTTCTTCGTTGTTTAGTGACGAGTCAAAGTGCTATTTGTCTTGCTAAAAATCCAATCCTTCATTCCGAGATGTAAGCACATTGAATTGAAGTATCATTTTATCGAAACCTGATAAATGATGGAGACTTGAGTTTGTTGAAGATTCCAGGTGCAGAAAATCCCGCTGATATGTTGACCAAGACTGTTACAACAACTAAGTTGAGGCTTTGCATTGCCTCAACTGGCCTTCGAGCAAATTGATGATGAAGGCACTACACTAGGTGGTAACGTAAATCAAACTCCAAGTGGGAGAATTGTTAGTATTATGGTGCTTGATTTAGTCCCACATCGATTAGGATTGTGAGATGAGGTTCTCTATTTTGTTATATAAGCAACCCTATGTAAAGTTTGAGATATACACAGAAATAAAAATACTTCCTAGTGTAGTCGTGGACGTAGGCATACATATTTTAGCCGAACCACGTTAAAATTCTTGTGTCGTTTATTTTTCTCTCCTTTATTCTTTCCTTTATTATTGTCTTGTTCCTAACACCGCCTTCCCAGTGGCCGTTTTGCTCCAGACCACCGCCATCTGGCTCGCCTTGTCGTCCTAAAGCCGAATCTCTGTTAGATGCGCCACCATGTGTTGCCTTCGTCCGTTGCTTCCTCAGCACGTGTGGTTCACACACCGCCTTCCTGGTGGCCGTTTTGTTCCAGACCACCGCCATCTGGCTTGCCTCGTCCTGGAGCTGGATCTACACTTGGTACTCTCTCATTGCTCTCGGTCTTCTCTCTCCAAACATCTTGCTGAATATTTTTTCTTAAGAGTCCTCTCTTGGTTCCTGAATAAAAATGTCAGGACCTGCAACATCTGTATCTTTTTTTGGGCTTCTGACTATAATAACAGAAAAATTAAATGAAAAAAATTACTTGTCTTGGGCCTCCTCTGTTGAACTCTGGTTTCTAGGACAAGGGATTCATGATAATCTAGAAGACGACGGAAGTACAAAATCAGCAGATCAGGCTTTTCAATGGAAGAAACTTGATTATCAACTTTGTGCTCTATTATGGCAATCAGTTGAACCAAATATTTTGAGCACTCTCCGTTCCTTCAAGACATGTAATTCCTTCTGGAAAAAGACCCAAAATATCTTTGCTAATGATATTTAACGGCTCTATGATTCTGCTAATAGACTAGTCTCCCTTAAGCAAGAGGATAACAATATGATGTCCTTTGTTGCTGAAGCTCAATCAACAGTTAAAGAATTAAAAATGTTCCTTGAGGCAGATTCTTTAGAGCAGAAAAAGACGAAGTCGGATAAATTCTATATGGTTATGATTCTTAGGGCTATGAATCCAAAATTTAATCATGTTAGAGATCAAATTTTAACTGGACGTGAAGTTCTTTCTATGGAGAGTTTGATCACAAGGCTACTTCGTGTTCCATCTATCAAAGGTAAAAATAGTCTAGAACTTATTGAATCTTCCGCCATGATTTCTGCTCATGGAAGAGGTAATCACGGCAATAGAGGACGTCCTCAGTGTACTCATTGCAAAAGAATGGGTCATACTAAAGAAAATTGCTTTGCTCTGCATGACTATCCTGATAGGACAGCCAATACTTCAAAATCTGAAGTTGTTGAACCCAAAGTTCTCTCATGAAGAGTATCAAGAATATTTAAGGATGAAATCAACCAGTCTGGCTCAAGCATCTACAACTCCAAATTCGTCAACTGCTTGCATTTCCCAATCTGTGGAAAGTCAAAATCCGTGGATTATTGATTCAGGTGCTTCTGACCACATGTCTAGTAATACCTCTTTATTCTCCTCTCTATCATTTCCTAAAATCTCTCATCTCATATCTTTAGTCAATAGATCTAAAGTAGCCTCTAAAAGGATTGGTCAAGTATCCATCTCTTCTTCTTTAAACTTACAAAATTTTCTTTGTGTTCCTTCTTTTCCATTCAGTCTTGTTTCCGTAAGCCAATTAACCAAATCATTGAATTGCTTAGTAACCTTAAATGCCAATTATTTTGTTATATAGGAACGTGGTATGGGTCGACTGATTGGAGAAGGACATGAATCTGGAGGCTTATACTATCTTGGGACTAATTCATCTGTATCTTGTGTTGCATCCTTATCCCCAAAACTGTTACATGAGCGATTAGGGCATCCTCATTTGGCAAAAAAAAAAAAATGGTTCTTGAACTTCAGATCCTTCAAACTTTTGAATGTGAATCATGTCAACTAGGGAAACATACTAGGTCATCTTTTCCAAATCATTCTGAATCTAGATGTGATTCTACTTTTAGTATTGTTCATTCAGATATCTGGGGACTTAGTCGTGTTTCATCTTTTGGCTTTAGATATTTTGTTACTTTTATGATGAGTTTTCTAGATGTACTTGAGTTTATCTAATGAAAGATCGCTCAGAACTATTGTCTATCTTTTAGTCTTTTCTTAATGAAATCAAAACTCAATTTGGAAAAGTAATCAAAGTTTTACGAAGTGATAATGCCAAAGAATAGTTTTCTAATGATTTTTCTGACGTCCTAAGTTTTCAAGGCATTTTACACCAGTCCACTTTGTTAGAAAAGTAGTTTTAAATCAAGAGGGGGGGTGAATTGATTTTTGAAAGTTTTTCGCAATAAACAGATTATCTAATTCGAAAATTAAGTTTACTAATCAATTCACGAATCACAAAGCAATTAAACAATACAAGCGCAGCAACTGAATTTAAAGAGAGAAAGGTTAGGAAAGATTTCACCGGTAATTTTATACTGGTTCACCCAATACCAGGGCTACGTCCAGTCTCCAGCCAAATTCCAGCTGGGTTCCACTAGAATAGATGTTTTACAGACTCAACAATCTTACACCTACTCTAACACAAGAACCAACTTCCAGTTCTTGCACTCAACCTTTCCACCAAGAACCAA